TTACGCTGCTGTTTACTCGACAACTGTGGAAATAACAAATCTCCCGTTCAGATGTTCTCCTTCACTCGTGACACTATTGTTTTCTGGTCGTGAGACCAGAGTCGTGGAGTCATGTGGTGCCGTTGGTGTGCAGATGTACAATACTGCACATACATCCATGATTCATGGCACATCGCCACCACCCCTGTGTTTCCTCATCTACACTGGCTGCCATAATTACACTCTGCAGCGTTTCCTCCGTACTCTCGGCTCAGATTGATGTGTATAATTTATTTACTTTTTGACAGATTTTAAATAGGCAGCGTCAAAACCGCCAAAGTAACCTTGGTGACTCTTCCGACTGCAGCTCCGCTGCTGTCACCGTACATAACATGGAGTGTAAGTATGCAAATGCACTTCATTTCTTTCCCAGCCTGTAGTTATTATATGTTGCTTTTCAACAACAGAATGAACCAACGTCCAGTGAAGAAAATGGCCTTAAAATGTTACTTTTCCTTATGAGAATTTACAGAATATACAGAGACTACGCCATGTTAGAATATTTTTAGTGAAACCCACATATTGTTGTGAGAATTCAATGTGAAGCTATTAAAAATAATAACCGACCTCTTTTCCTGTAGAAAAGCAGTTCCCAAACTTCTGGCCGAGTTGACGCACCTCACACCTGCAAAGGACAAAAACAAACAAACAAAACAACAAGTTTTAATATAAAGGCAGCATTTAACACACATATAAGTAAATACATTTATTTATTAGCAGTTATTAAATATAATGTAGCACACACAGGAGCTGTACGTTCTACAGAATACTAAAACAAACAAATCCATGTCAGCTGTGTGTCACTCTCCTTTCATTTTTTTTGACCCCACTCTTCAGCAAACACACAGTGTCATTCTCCTTTCATTTTTTGACCCCACTCTTCAGCAAACACTCATAGACAACGGCACACAAGCTTTTTGTCATCAATACACGCCCGGCTCTTCCACTTTCACTCAACATTATCTATTAGTTAATGTACTAGTTAATGTTTGAAGCGTTGCCATTTTGTCGCCAGAGGGACAGACCTTCCCCTACATCTGAGGACACCAGAGAGAGAGAGAGAGAGAGAGAGAGAATATGAAATTAACATTTCATCCTGTTCCAACGCCTGTCAGACAAATTTATGTGGACATCCCGTCAATAAATGGGTGAAAGATTGATGGGCTAGGATGCCTGCGTGGAACACTAAGCAGCTGGTGGGAGTCTATTCATGTGCTATTTCTGGAAGACCCCCTGTTCTTCTCTCTAATGTAGTGGGCCAGGCCACTGATGCACTTCTGCATGCACCACTGTGCTCTTGGGAACGTGGAACGAGGGAACGAGAAAGGGCGTAATGTCAGAGAAATGTCCTGTCACCGCTACAATGTGTGCAATAAAGAAGTCACAGCTCATTTGGAGCTGACATTGGTTGTCACTAAACAGTGTTGAATTACCATAACCAGAGTTCCCCATTTGCCAAATAGTTCTGTGTTGTTGTTTCACTATGAGTTATGATTCCTTGCCATTTGCCACCTGCAGGTGCTCGGGCTTCAACCCCAACGGGAACTTGAAAGTAATCATCATTTACAAGATCTGAATGGCTGCTCCAAACATAGCACAAAAAAAACAAAAAAACCCTCAAACAGATATACAGTTGGTGCCATCCTGCCAAACACTCAACTGTGTATTTTATTATTAAATTGTAAGTATCCCACCAAACACTCAGCTGTGTATTTTATTATTAAATTGTAAGTTCGACTGAAGTCAGTTTATTTATTTATTTTTTACAGAGACTGAGCTGGAAAAAACCATAAACATATGTGAGCGCTTTAAAAAGCTCAGAGGAAATTTAAAGTGAAGCTTTTTCTTCAAATATCAAGTGGTATTTGCTACAAGTCGACTTAATTCAATCACATTTCAACTTGAGGAATAAAAATAAATAAATAAAAAAAAACTATCCCAGAAATGGTTTCATCCCTACAGCGTTTTTTTTTTACAGCGTCTCGGTCTGAGTTGGACTAACAAATTATGACTGTTTGACACTGTGTGTGTTGAGTGTATAAATGTACTTTTCAGGTAAATATATTACAGTTGAATACAATCAGGTCATTATTCTGGAACAAGGGGATAAAACATTAAAGAATTCCCTGCTGTATCTGGTGAAGAAATATTAATTTAAACAGATTTAACTGCCTGTGATTTTTTTTTATTATCTATATTGACATTACAGAGAGGAGTCTGCATGACTGCAGGGCTGTTTAATCAATGAGTTTCATTTCTTCACTGTAATTACATTACGGGTGGTCAGAGCGCGAGCTGTACTGTAGTCACGTAAAAAAAAAAAAAAGTTCTGCTCTCCAGGCATTTCATATAAAACATATTTTACAGCAGAGAATTTTAAAGCTGCGTGACAGGTTGATGGGACACTCTCCCCTGACTGTGGGTTTGAATGTGTGTGTGAATGGTTGTCTCTGTGTGGACTGGGAAATGGTCAACCGTCTACAGCGCCCCCTACCCCCATGACTGGGAAATGGTCATCCGTCTCCAGCGCCCCCTACCCCCATGATCCTGCAAAGGAAGAGGTGGTAGATGATGGCTAGATGAATGGACAGGTGGGTTTGTCCCAGTGACGAACTTCAGAGATTCATCTCACAGTTGTAGGGTTTTTTTTCTGGAGTATCGATCGTCTGTGACGACACAGTCACTCATCAGTCGTCATTGCTGTCGATTCGACTGAAGTAAACTGCAGCGAGCTTCTGAGAGAGGATGAAAGGAATGAAAAGCCATTTTCATTAAGAAGGAGTTCATTAGCGTCTCTGCCGAGGGAAGGTAGTAAAGGGAAGTTGCATATGGGGCAACGAGGGAGGTCGAAGCTTCATGATGCGAGGAGCTTTACAAAGATCCGGTTGCTAAATACTCCTGCAGGACAACCATCTCCCCCGTGGAGCGCCGTTCCATATGGCACCATTGGCAAAGTGTATCATTCTGGTCCTCTACAGACTGGTGTCAGCGGTGAGGCCTGCCATGTGACATGTACCAACACCTCACTACTTGGAGCAGCTACACAGACAGCTCGTGATCGTGGTCTTTTCAGATGGTAGAGGGTTATACTGAGAGGCCCCGCCCCTTTCCTTTATTTCCATGCAGCTACTGACACTGCAACAAACATAAAGTACAGCATACTGTTGCCTTCACTGTCGTATGCAGTGCATTGTACATGCAGTATGTACATGCAGTACACATATGTCACTTATCCCCATTGTAAAAGCAGGTTTATAGACTCGGGTTCTGAATAAATAATGAGGTCCCTACAAAAGAGTGAACGCTGTCCTGGACTAAGTCTGATTGATTCTTGAAGTCTTCTGATAGAACTTCAGGAACCACCGTCCATATCAATTGGTTCTATTTGAGAGCAGCCCAGGAGGTTCCTATAAAAAATTTATATCAATGGTATTTGTTGCACTATAAGCACTGGACGGCACGTCCATAAAAGAGACACTGGTCTCTAAACTGAGCTGAAGAAACACTGCAATTGGAAAAGAGTTAGTGGAGTCAAAATGCTGATGGTAAACAAATAAATAAATATTCACAAGTGTTCATTTAATGATCCTAAACCACCTTTTCCCACATACATTATTAATAACAACGACCTGGATGAGAATGGAGGAAAGGAGGTCTGTGCGTAGGTACTGTAGCAGACACTGCTGTGGGTTAGGGCATCCTGCCATCCATTTACCGTAACAAATTTAAGCTGACGCCCGTGAGTCATAATTGCAGTAAAGAGTGTGTGTGTGAAGTCTATTTGCAGAAGCTCCACCACATCACCCAGATCTGACCAGAGCAGAGGTGGCTGCTGGTGGCCTATTTCTGGGACCTGCCCTGTCACCACTCACTTTCGTTTTCCACTGTGTTGCCCTGGAGTATTATCCCCATTTTTTTTTTTTTTTTGTCGTAATCCCTCCACAAATTTTTTTTTAAATAAACACATGGTAGTATTGTGTGTTGTTACACAGCAAGGCTGGTGTGTTTATGGTCACGGTACAAAACCTTTGTTTGACTGTTTATCTGTCAATTGGATTGTGTTTCAAGATTGAGCAGAAAATATGACAAATTAATGCCTTCACATACTTTAGACATAATTTAAACAAAAATCTTAGTTTCTACATAATTAAAAATAATAATATTGAAAATGTGATGGAATGTGATTTATCTGATGTAATTAAGTGACTAAGATGACCAAGTCTTCCTATCACTGAAGTTTTCTTCCTCGGCCAAATATGCCAGATTACAAGGAATTTGTTTTTCAAAAGAACAAGGTTTTCTTTTTCGTAGAATTCCGCTCCAGTGTAAATACTTTCCTCGGATCAATACTGCCATCTAGCGTTTATATATGGGCACTTTAGTATAACACAGTGTGCCGTATTAATAAATGACTGGTTTATTTTAACTTAAGTTTAATGAGGCTAAAATGAATGAGAATGTTTTCCGTGTCTTAAGAACGGAAGAAAATAATGTACAAAGCTGCTTATTATTTTTTTAAAACCTATATTTAAAAATGATTTCGAATATTTCAAAATTAAGAAAAATATGTAGCAAGTTTCATGTTTACATATTTGTAAGGTTGACTGCAAAGTACACCCACTTATGGCGATATTACGTTTTTTTATATAGACCCGTTTTTAACAGATTTTATACATTATTAATTTGTGAGAAAACATTTAAAACTTATATTTGAAATTGTCCTTTGGTCTTTAAAACATCTTACCTTAGAAGCTGGTAACCAAGAAGGTCAGAAGGTTTATGGAACAAATGATATGTGCACGAAAATATAAAAAAAACTAGTAGAAATCAGCAGCCGTTAAAATGTGTCGTAAAGCAGCTTCAGCACGACGGAAGCCCCACTGGGCAGTAAGATACTTTACGGCAATTTACGGCCTAACGTTTATATCATGCTAAGAGCCTTTTAAAATAAAACATTTGATTTAGTGTCACACTGCTGGTGTTGCTGCTGCTGCTGTTCCGTAAAATAAGATGGGTATAGCAGATGAGACGGACCGAACCCTCTTCATAAGAAACTTAGACTCTCGCGTGACTGAAGAGCTTTTGTTTGAATTGTTTTTACAGGTGATGGCAACGAACGCGTCGTGCTAACGCTCAGTTAGCCCTGTTAGCTCCTGTACCATTATCTTTCTGCTATTGCGGCTTTGGTAATCAAATTGTGTTTACAGGCGGGACCTCTGATCAAAACTAAAATACCGAAAGACCCGGAGGGAAAGCCCAAAACATTTGGTTTTGCTGTTTATAGGCACGAGGTGTCCGTGCCGTATGCTGTGCAGCTGCTGAACGGAATCTCGTTATTCGGGAGGAATATTCACGTACAGTTCAGATCAGGTGAGTTTACCGGTACGGCTGCTCTGCCAACACAATCACTGTTGTATCCACACGCGGTATTCTAATAGATAAAACTTAATAATAAAAAAAAACATTAAACGGAAGGTAACACCGTGCCAAATAAGTAGCCAATGTAAATTTTAATAATAAAAAATATTAAGACTTACCTGAACATGATAGTTTCGTGGTTCTGTGTTGGTGGTGACTCCAATGACAGGCCTTGTACTTTCTGCTCAACATTCTGAACTTTAATGGTGATAATGTATGCAAACATACTCAAGCACCGCTGAATTTATTCCTGCTAATCAAATAAATAAAAAGCACCTGTGCAAGTATCTTGGGTCACTTTCTCCTGCCCACCACTACATGCATATATATAGTAAAAGTTAACCTAAAGGCTAACAAGCACTAACAGCTTAAAGTCAAATATGTGGTGCTGAAGATGTATTGTATTTTTTTTGTCACTGCAAAGTAGTTAAATTGAGTATTTTTGATGCATTTGATTGTATGTTTTGAAGTTTGGGTCGTGGCTATAAGATTAGTGATTAAACCGTTGTTTTATTTTATCTTTCTCCTGTTATAGGCAGCAGTCATGGCAACAGTCCAGGGAACGCGCAGCTATCAAGTCCAGGAAATATTCCCAGTCCACACGGACATAGGTAAAATTTCAACTTGAGTTTTTCTTAATGCACTACGAACTGATTTTCATTAACCTGCCCTTTTATAACCATAATATTAAAAATTTTTTAGATTTTGATTAACCTGCCCTTTTATAACCATAATAGTTGCCCCCCCCCCATTTTTTTCTCAGCCACACGTGACATGAGCCAGACTTTTTGATGATGCACACAAACCTGGGTGAAATGTAAATTTAAACTAAACAGTCAAAGCCATTAACAGCCAAAAGGAGAGGGAAATCTCTGCTTCATTTATATAACTACAGTGATTTTTACATTTTACAGTTATTATACTGTGTGTTCTCTGTTATGATTCTCAACAAAACAACCTGTGAGCTCCAGGGAAACCAGGTTGGTCAGTAATTCTACTAACAGTTATTCACTAACATCTCAACAACAATTCTTTCTAAAACCAGAGGTTTAATATAGTACTTTAATACCAATCCTTTGCCCAATATTTTTCATAGTCAAGGCTGCCATTAGAAGCAATAACCAGTCAAAAAAAAAAAAAATCTGAACTGTTACTACTGTATGCTTGTTAGTTTCTGGCCACTTCATAAATGTCACTCAGGCATGTAGGTTTTTGGTGCTTTTGGCAAAGGTGTGTGTGTGAATTAAAAATGAAAAAAAAAAAAAAAAAGCTACGACATAAAATGTGTTATGAAATAAGACTGGACCTGGCCGTATCTGCACACACATGCTGAGAACGTTCTGCAGGCAATTCTTTCCACATTTAACGCCAAATTGCCGTACCTGTTAAGAGCTTTTACTGGAAACCCCACACACTGGCACTCACAGCGTCCAGACCAGAGCATCGTTTATTAGGAGTGTAAAAGTGGGCTTTAGTTGGTGTGTACACGTTGGTGGTAACATTAAATGAAATGCAAATGTTTAACTGGCATATTCATATATGTCAGTTAAACATTTGCACATCACTCTTGTCTGTTATTTCCTCTAGATATAATCTGTCGTAAAAACTCAGATAACGGGTAACGCTAAATTTCCTGTTGCCAAACCCGATCTCATTCTATTTCCTGTTCTTTTGCAAAACTGTCTTGACAACTTGACATCTCTTTATCACTTTCCCTGATTCTTCTTTGCGGAATGTTACGTGTCCAACAGTGGAGACGATGAAGTGTCAGGGGAAAAGTTTTGTCATAGCCGACACACAACTTTGAGCAGTTTAGAGATGAGAGTTAACCTGTATTGGTCACGGTTTCGAGAAGATTTATGGATGTTGGGAAAGAGGATATAATTATTCACACACAATTCTGGTTAAGTAGGTCTCAAAAACAGATGACTCTGTGAGATTTCAACAACATCTGTTTCCTGTCCACATTAAACTGACCAGAAACATGGAGCTGGTCTAAGAAAGTCCTCATAGTTGAGTTGTTGTAGTGTTTCATTTCGTAGCAACGTTCAGCTGGTTTACACATGCACTAATCTAATCTACTTCCTGTTCAGCGACCTGTACCTGACCTGCCCTGCTCTGCCCTATCAGAAAAGGTCTTTTGAAGTAATTTTTTTTTACTTAGTCATTTGTGGTTACAGATCGAAACTAACCATCCACTACCACAAAAGCAGATTTTGTTCATAAGCAGTTCCGCTAATTAAAACGCTACTTGCTAATCCAGTTCCTAGAGATGTGATCTGTCTGTGCTGCTGAAC